GTTACGATGCAGATACTGTTAGTACCGTAGCCAATACGATGGCAAGATTCTAATCCAGCTAGGAATCCAGCAGGAAAACAAGCATCGTGTGCCGCAGGCTTAATACTGTATTCAGGGTGATATTACATGAGTGCGGAACACGGAAATACGGAAACGCGCAACCAATCAGTAATCGGTGAAACGCGAAACCATAACAGCTGATTGCTTCTGATTGGTTACGCGTTTCCGCATTTCCACGTTTCCGCGCTCATGTAATAGCACCCTCACACTGCATCCGATTAGAAAACAGGATTCCGATGAATTTTGCTTCGTATTATCGGAATCCTGTTTTCTAATTGGATGCAGAGCGTCATACGACGAAAATCGGATGCACAGCATTAACGTGGAGTCTACAATAGAAGTCGTAGCGATCGTAAAATCTTAAGTTATAAAAAATTAACCAATCTCACAGTCGAATATGAGAGGAATACTCAACTAAGATCTTAAGTCGTAGAAAATTGACCAATCACAGTTGATTATTCTTCTCATATTCGACTGTGATTGGTCAATTTTCTACGACTTAAAACCCTACGACTGCTACGACTTCTATTGTAGACCCCGCATAAGCTTCAAATTCTCTTTTCACCGAGAGTATGCGAATCTATATTGTGATATTTTATGACATCTATGTTTGTGGCGCGTATTAATTTATAAATATAAATAAATAGATGGTTACAAGCACAATTATTACTACTATATTTTATTACACGATAGAAATGGACCTAGATACTGCTTACATTGGTAATTGCATTTATTCCATCTGAGACAATTTTGCATATGTATGCTTATTATTTAGAAAAGTATATTGTACGTATATTACTCGTACGCGCACCTCTGTACTTGTATTACATGTATAAATATTCTTTTTTTTTGTACAATTTAATCAAAGTATATTATATCTTTCTCCTCTTCACACACGCACACATACATACACAACAAGATATAAACAAGTACAATATAATAAATTAATATTGTACGTAACCTACATTTTAAAAGAGAGAGAGAGAGAGAGAGAGAGAGAGAGAGAGAGCACATTCTAATTGTAAAAGATTAGAACAAATTGGAAAGTTTATTCAATTTTCATTTGAATATCTTTAAATTTGTTGCTAGAACCATTGATTTACGATTGGATGGAACATCTTCAGCAAACTATGAGAAAACAGGAGCAAGAACAGATTGCTAATGCAACCAATTTTGCCATGCCATTTGTAGGTAGGCAACGAGAGAGTAAATATTATGTATATCTATAAATGATATTTGGGAGACTTGTTAGAATATCACTCTGCTGCTTTTAATTATTTTAAATTATATTATAATCAACACAGCGATTCCAGCATCTACTATGAAAGCTGCCTTTAAGATAGCGGAATACTTGGAGTTAGAGCCAAATGTCAAGTATATGGCTATTGAACTGTACGACAGATTCATGTGTAAACACTTTTGGGAGCTTTACAAGACTGAGTTTGCGAATGATCCATCTGAAGCATCATGGTTTAAAATATGCAAGAAAACTTCTAATCAAACAAAATTAAATCTAATGTCATGTTTTCAATTGGCATGCAAAATGGATTCTCATTCCAGCACCTTAGGAATATCGCAGGTACATTGAAAGATGATACTTTATGAAGAATTTAAGCATGACAAATCTTAACAGATAAAATTTGTTTTATTAGATTCTTAATATTCTATATCTGATTGACAAAGAGTCTGAATATACGCGAAATATGATTTCCTCTTCGGAAATTAAAGTTTTCAAAACAGTAGGATTTACAATGCCCCTTTACACACCATTGCACTGTATCGAAATTCTTCTGGCGGCGACAGGTCTCGGAGAAACGCCAAATACGTTTAACGTTTCGATAGATTTGTTGGATTTGGCTTATCTAAAGGTTTAGATATTATCTAATTTATTTCTTCATATGATTGACAATTTATACAATACATATTTCACTAAGTTGTATACATTTCCAGCATGACAGATTATATTCGCAATTTTATCATTTATATTACATACATAAAGATACTATAAACGCGGAATATGTAGCCCGAAAGCTGATATCACTGAAATCAAACGTACTTTACCTAAGTGCAGCGATAATATATTGCACAACGTTTTTTCTGTGCTTGGATACAAATGCTTCGGAAGAGATTCAATATGGCAAATATGTTGCTCTCAATAGCAACACAAGAGTAATGTAATAGACTGCATATTAAATAATTTTACATGCGCACGCATGTGTGTATTAATTGTACTGTGTAAATATACACGTTATACAGATATGTATTGTGTAAATACTTTGTAAACAAAATTAAATTAATTCTTATTAATACATTGCATGCAATTATGTGTACATTTTTGTTTACTTATTTAAGTTGTGTATGTGTGTGTAAAATAGACATTTAAATTACAAACGTATCGTTCTAAAATGTTTAGATCGCATAGTGAATTTACATGCAATGCAAATTTACGAGAATTAATATAAATTTGCGATTATTCACATATAAATATTAGATACAATAATATATTATTAAATTAATGATTTTCTATATAAATGCTGCATAAATAAATATGTATACTTAATGCATACTTAATGCAACTTAATGTTATAATATCTTTGCTATATATTGCTGCAAAATTATATTATTTTCTCTAATTTAAAGAAGAAGAAGAATCGATCAGTACCGACTGCACGTGAGAGATAACTGACGTTTCTATTGATAGGTGGCCTGGATATCATTGACCCCAGTCAAGAGTTAGGTTAGGTTAGACTCCTTTCTCTTCACAATTGCTTCAAGCTGCTCTCGTTTTGTTTCACCCCTTTCACCGTGCGCGCGTGCTCGACATCCATTCACTACAATTCATCGCTACTACTACGCGTCACTACTATTTTACTATCCTTCCTAAAAAACCAACCAGTCTTGACCAGTCTTGTCCACGATATCGTGACAATTGCTTTGTTTAACTTGGTTCGCTTCGTCGCGGCTTCGATTATAAAAGATATACGTTGCATTCTGCATTAAGTATAAAAGAAATTCAATATTTCTCACATTACTCTAATGACTTTTTTTTGACATTTGAAAAAAAAATTTCAAGGTTTTCATTTGTAAGATTTTCTTTGCGCTGTGCCAGAGCTGTGAGAAATCTAAAGGAAATCGTTTATAAACCCTTATTCTCACACATGCGTGTGTGATATTCACAGCCAGTGACAGCCAGCCGTTTCGTGTAGTTTCAAGATGGAGAGAAAACAATGTCGTGACTACTGTTCTCGCACAAGAGGGTTGTAAACACAGTCTGGGTCGTCGGTGATTCTGCTAGTTTTGCATGAGGTCGACGAGAACGGAAAACGTGTAATGGCGAAATCAGTGCTAAGTTCGGACACGCTGCCAAAGGCCGGTCGTGTAAACGAAGGTGAGATTTTTGTATTTCTCTTTTCAACATCCGCTTCTCTTATGAGATATGAAATTCTCTGTAAGCTTGATTCTTTATCTTACTCAGTACTCAGTACTTTCCTTCTTTTTTTCACATTTAGATATATATTTATATATGTAGTTCAAGCGTAGAAAACGCAACGAAGAATAAAATAAAAGATTCTTGAACAAACGCGCGTCTCACGTCATGCAATTAGTCACGATTAGTCATTGCATTGGTATTCACAATGTGAACTTGTACTTGTGTAATTTTGCAGTATGCCGCGAATGGTTGGTACATGAAGACGGGGCATTGGCTTATCGGCTACAAGATGAAGAAAGTATGTAAAAATTTTATGCTTATGTTTGTCATGTGGATTGTACATATACATATGTATATCTTTAATAGGCAATACTAGATTAGATTCGTGCAGGGATGTCCCAAAACAACTAATTATAGGCTGATTGAATTTTCTACCTTAAGAAGAATGATATATACACAAGCTTTCTCTCTCTATTAATTTAAATTATAAAATTAATCCAAAAAATTTGGCATTATGTAAAAAAGGAAAAAAGGAAATTTAATTAAAGTAAAACTAATTACACAGCTTAAGGAAGTCTCAAAATTTTCGTGCTGAGAAAGAAAGAGGGAGGGGAGAGAGCAGAATATATTGAAGAGAAAAAAAAGACAAATGTAAACGAATATAATAATTTCGTTGAAAATAAAAGAATGGATAAGTTAGGCATTTGTATCTGCTATCAATACCTATAATAAAAGACTTTAACATATGATTCTTTATTATGATTTATAGTTAAGGAACATTATACTGGCAACAAAACGCGTAATGCACAGGTGAGAGAAGATGTGCCACGAGCCAAAGTCGAACAGGAATTGGAAGCGATAAGATATCACACTTATATTCAACAGCAGTTAGTAATATTTGTATTTATACAAAGATAGAGATTATTTTATATTGTTTTAAAATATTTTTCTTTTTTTTTTTACAAAGGGAAGAGAGAGATGCGGTTGTCGCAAGACAGATTGCATTTTCTTTGGAGCGAGAAGAAAAGCAGAGAGAATGCGAATTGCAAGAAATGATGAGATTACAGTTAAGATTGGGAGATGAAGCTATGCAGCAAGAGTTTGAAAAACGTATGCAAGAAGAAAAAGATGAGGTAATCACAGTATCTCGTGGTTAATAAAACCCTTGAAAATAGTTTTATATATATATAGTTTTATATATATATATCTTATTTAAGAAAAGAAAAAGAGATAATTGTTCGTTAGCATATATAAATGTTAAACCTCGTTATATGATAGGAACTGGCGAAAAAGATACAACAAGAAGAAGAAAATCACGACGAGCCGGAAGATGAGCAATTTATGTTGGATCAGAAATTAGCGATGGAAGCACAGGATGCTGAATTGGCACGAATGCTTCAGGATAAGGAGCGTGCAAAGGCTCGTAAAGCGCGAGAAAGGGCAAGACAGAAGAAGCTAGAGCGGGAGCGTCTGCAGCAACAGCAACAGCAGCAACAGACAGATAAACAGGATCTCACGGAACGACCTCAAAGACCAGACAGACTGGATTTGAAGACCCTGTCAAACAAGAATCGAACCCGTATTCCTGCCAATTATTCTCATTATTCGGATCCTGAGGAAATCCATACATTAGACAGTCCCGACAATGTGCAAGAAGTGGCAAATGTCGCAACCATTATCGATCCTACTTACAATGTGCATAGAGGTACTTTTTCGAGCAGCTCGAGCAGCACAATAAGCCCCACTTATGTTTTACCGACACCACCACAAGAGCTAATGGCAGATGATATACCGTGTTACATGCCGATTCAAGGCCAGCGACGAAATCAGGCTCAATCACCATCTAATGTGCAAGAAGAGAAGCACAAGCGGCGAGTTAAAGATGGGTGTAAGCATCAGTAAGAAACATAAAGCTGAGAGAGATTAATATTTTTTATAAAATTTTTTTTTATCGTCATCAAACGATGACATAAATTAACAAGCAGTATTCATTTCTAAGATCTACTCATAAAGAGATGCAATTTTGTTACGTATTGAGCAATATTGATAACACATTTATTTTATATATATAATATATGTATTTACTTTCGCAAAATGTGTGTACCAACTTTAAGATTTTACGATTATTTTTTTTCGTATTGATAGGATATATTGCCATATATTATATGATAATGTAAATCAATGTACTGCCATACATTACACAAAGTTTAATGTGCCTTTTAAAGGGCATTTAAAAAATCTAAGAACCTTAACAAATGAATGAATTACTCAGCAATAATTATAATTGCTGATATTCGAATGAATAGATTGTACCGTCCTCGATTTTCGTTTTACATTTTTTGGTAGTTGTGTTTCTAATAGTATTGTATATGAAGCAAGAATGAAAAATAATGCCATCCCTGTTATAAAGTATATAAAGACACTAGTATAAATATTTTTTTAACATTAATATGCTTCTCATTGTTCAAACTTTCGACATTTTTAGTGTATAGAATAAAAACAAAAGAATATCTTAGAGAGACAATCAGAAAACAATATATTTTTCAACTTTATGAATTGATAAGACGAGAAAGTCATGCGACAGTGTACAAATATTGATCAAATAAGATTTATCATAAAAGGTTAATTCACGTAAAGATCAGATATATGGAATGTAATTTTTTAAATGCATGAATAGATTATGACAAAAGATTGAGAAATTATAAAGTTTTAATTATAATGCTTTAAATTAAATTATTCTTTATTATTTAAATGATTACGTTAAAGAGAATCTCATGTTTCCATTACGTTCAATTGGCTCTTATAAGATGACCATACTGATAGGTTTCCGTTATATATATCGTTCAACGCTACAAGGTTTGTCTATAACATGTTTAATTTGCTAATAAATCGCGACTACTTAAAGTTCTTTCTAAAGTTAAGATAGAATGTAAAGAATGACAACACTGCCAAAGATAAAACTTTAATGCAGGCCTTTAAAAAAGTGTTGATAAAGAAAGGGCGTATACATTACGTATGTATAAGAATCTAGATTGAAAGAGTTTTACGTATTGCAATATTTTTCGAATTTTGAAATATGATATAAGCAAGCTTCCAAAATACTGAAGTATATAGTTATAACGTGTTGAAGGGAAATGTTAAAGAGAGAACGCATAATTGTTACTAAATACAATTGTTACATTTCCCCTTCAAAAAGTAAAGAAAAAATATCTTAAAATTACCTGTAATTCCAAAATAACACATTTCTAAAACGTTTAGAATTTATTTATTATTAATTCTCTAGCATTATAAAGTATAGACTTATTGTATATGTGTGTACAATGTATTACTTACTAACTTATATAAGGACTGTGTTCACAGAAGAATAAGAATCTCTATTGATAGTTTTTCAAGCAATATTCCATTAGAATATATGAATTTTTTTGTAATGATTTTTTCGTAATGATTATATTATTTGTGGTGAGTGGATTCTCTCGTTTGGTACTATCATATATATACATATATACGTATATATATGTATATATATGTAAGTTTCTTTTACATTTATTGTATCGATACAACTATACATGAGTATATTAATAAATTATTTACAAAGATAT